TGTCAAGTATGTCATAACTATAACTTTGGTATTGTTGGCCCAAGAGAGGAGATCAGAAGTAGGGGGTTTTCGTTAATGATGTGCGTAAAATGTGCAGTAGCAAGTTTTGTTTAGACATGTACTGTAGTATATATTGTAATAACCAATACTTGTCAAATTTAGCAGGGACAGATCCAGGAATCGGAGAAAGGAAAATCAAACTTGTCGTTACTGGAGGAATTTCACTGCTGACTGCAAAAAAGCTAAAACATAGGTCTAGTTTTCAGAAATGCTATTTCCTTCGTTTTGGGGATATTTTTGGAAAAATRAAAAAGGTAATATAAATAATGCTTTCCAAAACCCGATCCCAAACTAAACTTTGAAGGATTCATTAATTAAGTAATAGCTATTCAAGAAATTAAAGGGGGGGGGGGGGGGGGGGGGGGTCACTGTGTTAGTAATTTTTGAGCTACATGACGTCACACTTTTTTAGGGTGGTCTATGAGAACATTCAAAACCTGAAAATCCGCAAACAAGAGATGAACTCAAATAGCAGGGAAATGTGAAAATGTAGCAGCTAACCTTGCTCAGGTAAAGTTAATTAAATGAATRAATAGATCACTGTTTCACACTACACTCGCTAAAGTACGAAACGGGACCTAACCTAAACATACAATGACTGAGGGAAGACTAAGGCGAGTTAAAATATCCGCTAAACTCATGGCCCTATTAAATATCATATCGGAGAAATTTTGCACCTAATTTAAACGCCTATATTGTTCCATTTAAACGTTATATCGGGAGTCTAACTATTTCCGGTAATATGCGCAGTGCAGGCTACAAATTTGGCTAAAGCTAAATTTAGAATATTTCGAATTTTTCCGAATTTTTTCGGAATTAGTATATAGGAAATGTATGAAAACAACACATCCAACCTCGTCTTGAATTTTTTTGGTATATTCGAATAGCGCAGCGCAACCGTGACGTCATAAAAACGAAGACAAAGGCGAAATTCGTACAAACAAACTTACAAGTTTACTTTCAGCAGATAATTTTCACAGCCGATCGCAGTTGATCTTAGTTTACATGGGTTATTATTGTAACTTTAAGTAAAAATRATAAAATCGGTTCGTATAATCCTCGTAGCGGTTAAACAGAATGCAATGTTTGTCCGAATCTTTAAGCTATTTTTAGAATCAGCGCGCTGCGCTATTGACAGGCGGTGATTGACAGATGTGTATCAGCACCAAATCAGCACCGATCATCTAGAATCGGTATATTCCCCTTTTACTCCGACATAGGACTAGCGTCCGTTTTTTTAATCTTTTCATGGTGTAAAATCTACCCTTTTATCATTACTGTTTCATTAGAAACACCGACGCMGCTCACACTAGTTTTTAGCTAGTTTCTCTTCTAGAATCGGTATACTGCTTTTCAAATGAGTTTGTTTGGAAATTATGCTTTTTTTAGAGATATAAAATTAAAAGAGTAGGGAAGAAAAGGCGGAAGAGGGAGGGAGGGAAGGAGCTCTCTCTCTCTCCTTCCCCCTTCCCCCAGAGCGCCGCTTCGCAGGCTAGGGTTTTCACGGATAAACAAACAAACACAAATGAAAGGCCGCAATAAATAGGGTATGACGTCATAGTAATCGACTTATGCATATTTTATCAGTTAATATTTACCTTTGAATAACCAGAAGGCGCTCGTTCCAAGAACCTTCCATGATGAAAGTGCTCGTTATTTGGTTGATTTTAGCGGTGCTGTTGCTCGCTACGGAGAGTAGAGAGTATAAACATCACCTTATTCTCAAATCCAATGTATTTGACGTGTACTGGTCAGTCAATACTACCGATCCGATCTTTCCAAGATTTTACTTCAAATTCGTTGCAAAGACAACTGGTTGGGCGGCTTTGGGTTGGTCGCAAACTGCATCAGGAAGACATATGCAGCAGTACGACATTGCATTAGGAGGAGTGAGAAACGGCAACGAATCATACATAGGGGTAAGGATTTCAAATATAAACCGAGCATTTCAATCCAATATCGAAAGCTTTTCGAAGCGTACGCGTAGGTAAATTACCTTAAACGCGTACGTTTCGAAAAGCTTTTGATGTTGGATTGAAATGCTCGGTTAATCCCTAGAAATAGGAGGAGAAATGTCATTTTCCCCAAACTTTTCATACAGACGTACATTGTACCATGGACGTTTAAAATATGCAATAATTGTTGGGTTGCAAGCATTCCCAAGAGAGTTAAAAGACAAAAGCATGGCGGCCATCTTGGTGCCGTTCACAATGGATCCTAATGAGAAATCTTTTGTTAAATGGCACCAACGCTCTCCCGAGAGGCCGCGATGACGTAATGTGCAATCGAAGGACAAGGGGGTCACCATTCTCGTTTTCGTGCTACATGACCTCAAGATTTGACAAAATACGGCCTCGATATAACAGATATGGCTGTAACCGGAAGTGGAATAAAAATAAAACAATTCCTTGTAAAATGGACCTATTAATTCACTTGGGCGTAATGTTTTGCCACGTGTCATTCTCTCGAGAAAAAGATTCTTTGTATGAGTTGTATCCATATTCATGTGTCTTCTCATGTGCTACCGATACACAAAGAAATGATACTCTTGGGAATGACACATGGTCTGAAATGGGAAAACAGTGAATTAGGTCTATTATATGTTTTAAGCAAGCCAATAAAGGTTCTGGGGGGGTACTCCACTATATTTGCTATATGGGTACGTGTCGCCAAACAGGGTATGGTTTTCAGTGATTCTACTCTGGAACAAGGCATACAAAATCGCGCTCGCTCTAGAACAGGGTATATGAAATCACGCTCTCTCCTCTCTGGAACAGGGTATCTATACTTATGGTTTACCATACTGTATATGTATACAGTATGGTTTTCAGTGATCTTACTCTGGAATAGGGTATGAATTTCAACGATTTAACTCTGGAACAGGGTCAGGGTTCAGAGGGCTCAGCTGCACATCCCTACCCTAAACAGGCAAGAGTACACGATAACAATAGCTAAGCATTTAATCATGTTTTAAGTAATAATATACCATGTTTGTATCAGAGGACAGAGACACGATTGGGTGAAATCATTCAAAAATATTTTATAAAAGCGATATAAAATGTCCGCTCGTGTTATATTACTCCTCGTGTTTTTCTAGGACTTCTCTCTTGCTCTACAGCTCCCATCATGTTTATATCACAGTATATAGACACGCACGCCGTTTTATATTCCTTAAATATATACACATATATACACTTGATTGCAGAAAGGTTGAAGTAAACATTTATACATATATCTAATGAGATGCAAGATATCAAATGAGATGCAAAACTTACAAGTAACTTATTTGGTCTTCCTTATCTTCTATTGTATCAGAGACATAAGTATTGCACAAACTCAAGTTAAAAAATTTTTTCCCACAAAACGCTGTGGCTAAGCAATTGTATTTACGCATGTTTTAAATTCTGCAGCTCATTTGATATCTTGCATCTCATTAGATATTTGTATAAATGTATACTACAACCTTTCTGCAATCAAGTGTATATATATATATATATATACACTCGATTGCAGAAACGTTGTAGTATACACTTATACATTTATACAAATACCTAATGAGATGCATATTTCAATTTAAATTTTTTAACCCTCAAAACCAATTGATTTATGATCTGTAGGATGTAAAACACAAGAAAAAAATATTTTGACGTTCATTGAATGAAACAAATAATAAATAAAGCGAGTTTTCTGTTTTGCATATCATTAAATATACTGAATAAATTAGGTATTTGTATAAATGTATACTACAACCTTTCTGCAATCAAGTGTATATATATATACATGTAATATGTATATATATACTTTTTTACACCTAATGACCCTTATAAGGACTGACTATATTAATGATAATTTAAAGAGGCTCTTGCAATATGTTGGGTGCCTTGATGAATACTACCGACTTGTGCAAGTCGCTTCAAAAGTTTAGGTCTAGTTTTTGAGAAAATAAGCGGTAAACGATTTCTATGATGTCATAATTACGTCATAGCGAAAAGGCTGCTTTAAACTAATTTATCATTTTTGAAACCTTTAATCCTTTCCTGACAATGTGTGAAAAGCACTTGCAGATCRAGTTATTCAAGACGAAGTTGTAGTCGTTTCAATGCCTCTAGATGTGCCAGACCAAAACTACCTACAGCCTCCTTAAGCAATATTTATAAGCTTAGGCCTACTATCCAGCTATCTTTTTTATGATTACAGCTGTATATCCCCAATAATGCAATTTGATTTTGAAAACCAAGATTTCTTACTTGAATTACAGTCAATATTGACAATGACATCGGGTCTATTTCGTATTTGCATACTCATGCACCTAGCATGACTATAATTAAAAGTTATTGCATATGGATATAAACCAATAATACAGATATCATATTCTTGGCACAGCCGGAGGTGAAGAAGAAATAATAAGGGCTGGGTGTTGAAATCCATTTTTTGGATATATTGCCTTGCTTCAGGCTAGTAGGTGTATTTAGAATTCTATAACCTTATAACTTAACTTGCATTATAATGTTCACACCCCATCTGGAAACCGTGTAAGAATTAATACAATCTTTGTCTTTGTGTCATGACAGTGTGATATTCCACTTTGAGGACTATTTATTCTAGAACTGCTTGGTTTCTATTATTGCAGGACTACTACTCTTCAACGCCAGGCAAGCCTGACCATGATGGTCCTAGCTTACAGTCCCTTGTCCTGACCAATGCTACAGAAGCTGATGGATACACTACCATTGAATTCAACCGTGCTGCAAATACATTAGATACAGCTACTGATGTTCCATTAAAAGTAAGTTATATATTAAACAATTATTTGCCGAAGGCAAAGTAAACATCGGGGACTATATTTACCAAGCCGCAAGTCTTTGAGTGCATGGCCATCGAGGTGATTTTTTCCCATATTCACTAAGCCTGAGGTGAATTATTGTTTTAGCATAATTTTAGACTTGAATATCAAAAGAGGAGAAATTCAGGGTAAAAAAGCGTTACAGTGTAGTATAATTACTTCTACTCTTGCAAACTTTGAGAGTCAATGGTCACTGTCCGCTCTCAGGGTTTGCAATTCTCCTGGAATTTCAAAATGTTTTTCCAGGGCCCTGCAAATTGTTTTGAAAGTGTTATTTCTTTGACACCAACTCCTAGAAAACTAAAATCCTTTGAATTGATTTTGTAAAGTTGAATGATAAAATAGTTCAATATGATTTGAGTGAAACATCTTGAAGGTAACAAGGTTTATATACTTCCAAGATGTGGTTTCGATTGCAGCAGTTTTTGGTGTAATTAAAAGCTTGTCTGTATCTACACAGTATCTGTTTTGAAGAGATCTTATTTTCACTGGACACATGATTTATGATCCATTTACCACAACCGAAGTTTTAAGCACGGGGGTGACTCGGGGGTAAAAGTATCGGATATGCTCATTGGAAATTCTCAAAAATACCCCAAAAAAATACCTGAATTCCTTTAAAAAGAGCTTGGTTGGACGAGTTTTTACTCCTAAGAGATACCCCTACAAGATACCAAGAAATGTCAAAATTCTAAATTTCCATGTTAACACCCTTAAAAATACCAAATCGCTGATTTTCATCCCTAAGAGATACGACGAGCTTTTCCGACACATTTACCCTGGAGTCACCCCCCAAGGGTTTTAAGAGGCAATGTCCACAAGAATGAAACACTAATAGTGGTAAGAGTCAAAAAATCAAAATCTCCGTTCCTTTTGAAGATAGGCCTTTATTAGATATCTTTATACCTTTATTAGATATACCTTTAATCTTTATTTAATCTTTATTAGATACCTTTAATCTTTATTTAATCTTTATTAGATACCTTTAATCTTTATTTAATCTTTATTAGATACCTTTAATCTTTAATCGGTTATCTCCTAAAACAACAGTATGATAGCTACACTATAGGAGAATCGCTGTGTAATTCTTTCAGTCGAAAATACATATCTTTTTATTTTCGAGAAAACGGCAAGAAAAAGAGTTTCGACCAGAGTCCCAAGCAAAAGACCCTCAAGAGTGGTCAAAGTGACCAAAGATTTGGTACTACAGTCGAAACTCTCCTCTGGCCTGTTGAAAAATAAGTGCAGAAGAATTCATATCTAATAAAGGCCTATCCTCAAAAG